CCCCCGGCCCAGACACCACTTTCGGCGGCCATCAAACGTTTTTGTCAAATTCAAACACGCGTGCGAATTAAAGAGCTGTAGGCGGATTGAATCCGCACTGTATATAATAATAATAATAATAATATTACATTATTTTATTGTCGACGACAGCCGTCCGAGGGGGAGTGAGGCTCGCGGGGCCCCGAAATAAATATTATATAATACCACGCGAGCACCACTCGACGCGACGATTGTGTCACGACGACTGTGCAGACGATAATAATACTCATAGTTATCGTTCGCGGTTCTCCGGACGTCTCCTCGTTGACGATGTATTATATTATGTTATTATTATTGTTACCGCTATGGTTTATAGCGTTTTGGGGCGGCTCGGAGGGTAGGTATATACCATGGTTCCGTGGTGGGAAACGCACTGCGACCACGGGGCGGCAGCTGACTACGCCATTACGGCGCGGACGGATCCGATCGCGACACGACAACTGCACGACGGCGACGCTCCGCTCCGCCGTCACGCGATTTGGTTCCGGTATTTTATGTGCCGGAACAGATTTTAATTATTATGAACGAACGGGGGCCCGCCCGATAAAGGTCAATCGCGACGTGTTCAACGACGTGTGTGCCGCGTGTGTGTGTGTGTGTGTGTGTGTGTGTGTGTGTATGTGTGTGTGTGTGTGTGCGTGTGTGCACGCCTGTGTATCGAAATCGTATATTATACATTCCCAAAAAAATGAGACGTTTGCGGAATGAGCCAAGTCGGCCGGAAGTAACGGGTCGATAACGCGTGTTTCGATAGTCGGAGGCGATATGCGTGTAATTCGGTCGCTGTGTAAGTTAAGCACCGCGGAGAACAAAATGATATAATCCCGAGCTGGTGTGACGTGAACATTAATTTACGATTTTAATGCGATTCGGTCGGGTGTAATAATATAATATATTATCATACACCTGCGGCCTGATCTCGGAGTGCGAGTATGCATTAAAAAAAAAAAAAAAAATACTTAATGGACTTTAATTACCGGCGATCAAACGTTGTTTAATTAATGGCGGGGTGCGCGACGATCGGATCGACAAAAAATTAATTATATAATATGCATGATAAATATATATTTTAAATTAACGAGATGGAGCGCGGGTGCTCCGATTTGCCCAAAGTCTCGTGTTCTTTTTTTTCATCGGACTGCCGCATTGCTCCGACAATGCCGGAAACGTATTATATAATATATTATTATGGTATTAAAAGGAAAAAATTGTCAATGAGCTCTTATACATACACTCGAAACTTTTGAAACAATATTGAATCGATTAAATCGTTAAAGTTTCGGCTTTTACGTGTACATTTTTTCCCCTCGGGGCGTTTGCTCTTTGATTAATGATGCCATCACGCCGCACACAATGCAGACGTGTACTTAAAACCGTATTCTATAATAAGAACGGGGACTACTACTGAAGATGACCGATCATTTGAAGTTTCGTCTGTTTCTAACGTGCACTCGGTCAAGATGTTTTTACGGTTTTCTATTCTTGTGTAATATTCTGTTGTTTGCACTTACTGAAAGTTCAATGTTCTCGATAAGATTAAAATAACGTTTTGCTCTTGAACATCAAATAATAAGCGCATGTACCCAATAATTTAATACGATGGCTACGTTTTAATTCGGCGCAGTAACAACACCCACACTATAGACTAATGAAATATAATACGCATTATGCGTAATTGATATTTTTATACATGTGATATATTGTGTTATCTCTTTACACGCGCAAATGGTTTGTAATTAAATCAACCAATATTTCACTTTTGGGCGGCCTACACTTAAAAATGTTCTTTTTGTCCTCTGATAAAAATAAAACACAACCGAAACGTTTAACGACGGCAATACGATTTGATCAGACTAGTCATTATACGTACTTACAACTTCATCAGTTGACGTATTTGATTGATCGACAAAACGTTAACAATAATAATATTATATGAAGCATTTTTTTAGATCCTGCTGTCGTGTTATACCATATATAATATATCAGGTGCCATCAAATGGTGGTCAGCGGACAAGATATTTTTCTAATCAAGACAAGACAAGACAAGAAATTTGATTTTTAGAATCATTATTATTTACGGTGAATTACCAAATAGATGTTCATTAGGTAGTTTTCATCTTAGTTATTGACTTTGTCTTTGCCTTCTTTCAATGATACTGTAAACTGGATTTTGATGCATCTAATTCTACTATACCCCCTCCCCCCTCCCAAAAAAAAAATTCCCGAATTCCTAATGTCACCTCGCGAAAATACTGATAAATGATCCCATAATGGTTTTATTCATCGTATGATCGAATATATCTAAGTGGCTGGTTTAAGTACTTACATGTGACGACCAGGTTGGCTTTTCTGCTGACGGCCTCGCCGAAAGCGTTGTGGGCGATGCACCAGTACGTACCGGAGTCCGAGTCGCGCTTGCCCTGCGACGCCTCCAGGAACAACAGTGACCCATCCGGCAACAGGGCCTTGCGGACGCTGGTTGCTACGTCCACGGGACGTCCGTCCCGGTACCACCGGACTTCCGGTTGCGGCTGACCATCGGACTTGCAGTTGAGCGTGGCCGGCTCGTGCAGACCGACCGACATGTCGGTGGGATGTTCGACGATCCGAGGTGCCCGTCCGCACAGGACGTCTGCGAACAAACAAGGAATAAAACAACGGTTAACATATTTTGTGTGCAATAATTATTCTGCGGTGCGTGTGGCGATAATTTTTAAATATTATTAGATATTCGTACGACACCGTTATCGTTACGTCCGTATAGTGTTATAACGCGCACATGCGACACACGTTATTGGCAAAGTTTAACCGCTTCAGAACCGCCGCAGCTTCCGCGGATGTCCTACGGAAGAGAAAAAAATATCGCGGAAAACAGCATCATCCTCGAGTGGTAAAATCAATAGCGAAAACTCTCGACGGCGGGTGCGAGCGCCTATATAGCAGTTGTTGTGCTGCCGTGAATGTTAATACGCAGCGAAGAGCATAATATAATAATAATATGTTATGTGCACACTATTATATTATTTAGAACGAGAATCGCCCCGCGTTTATATGTATAATAATAATAATAATACATGTTTGAAAGTTCGACGACGACTCGTGAGGTGGAAATCATCATCAGCACCCCTCTGACGAGAACTGGACGAGTCGGCGGGTGTGCATGAGCTGTGCAATATCCGTTTGCTTTATTTCAATAACATTTACATTATAATATTATATTACTAATGACGCCGGAGTGGTGAATTTCGGGTGAAAAAAAAAATAAAAATAGTTAAAAGGTCCGTTTATGACAGTCGACTACTCGGTGAACTGTGTGTGTGTATGCGGCGTAAAAAACGTACCATCATTATAATATCGTGATATAATATTTTAATACATTGTTTATTATTCCGATTAAAAATAACCTCGGCGGCGACGAGCAGATCGCGCGGCACACGCACGAGTGTGTTGACACTGTGACGTTCGTATGATGCGCACGTGGAGACACTTGTAAAAACAAAAATCGTGAAAACATTTTTGTTCTGGCGTTTATTTTTTATTTTTTTAATTTACGCGGCGAACGCAATAATAATAATAATATTCGCCGAATCAGAAGGGTGCGTTGGCGGACAGTGGTTGTGGTGGGTGGGCATGGGTGGGCGTTCGTGTTTTGCTCCGCCGCCGGTCAAGTGGCGATATCATGTATGCGTGCATACGGACAGAGTGGCGCTCGCACGTTATACAGGTCTGAACACGAAACATATATATATATATAATATACTCCAAACATCGTATATATATAATATATATATATATGTATATGTATATCATATTTATTTATTTATTTGTATACATAATACGCGCTTCCGAAGCTCATCTCTGCCGCAGTGCAGCCGGCGGGCGCGTTTTAAATTAACATCTCTCCCCCCGCATCGCCGGCGGCTTTCATTGTCGTCGCAGTCATCACTACTATTATTATTATTATTATTATTATTATTATTATTATTATTATTATTATGCCGTGCAGTGTGTTGTACGCGTACGTGTTGTAGTGGATCACAGGCGTATCCGTGCCGTGCGCCCGTGTGTATACACAATACACATCATACACGTATAATATCATATCCCACTAGAACGTCTTTTGTCGGCGGTAGGGGAGGGTCGGCGTACGGAGGGATGAAAAGAAGAAAAAAAAAACGTCGCTGGATGGCGAGAGGTGAGGACTGACGACGACTGCGACGAGAGAACAGTGCGATTCGAAACGTCCCCGCGGCGATGGGGAACACATGAATTCGCAATCGCGGAAAGTTACATTATTA